GGTGGAGTCGCTGCTGGTGGAGGTGGAGTCGCTGCTGGTGGAGGTGGAGAGGCCCGTGGCATTAGTGAAAAGTATTTGTGCAGTCCTGAAGTGGATGCTGATGACAATGAAGGGGTTGTTGACGGTGGTGGCAAGGCTCTTGGTGGAGTTTGTTGAGGGATATCAGGAGTTGCTGAGGTACCTTCAGGGCTGGAGAAGAAACTCCTACTGGCCTCCATTTTGCCACTTGTCAGAGGGCTCTCTGGGTTAAAAGGAAAGATGCCTGAACGTCTGAAACCTTTCAGGCTGGCTTCTGGCCTGGCACAATGCTCCCACACTTTTTTCAACAGGTGCGAAAAATTGGCCGCTGATGGCGTCTCCCCTGTCTCCTCCAGGTGCTGCTTCACCACCACGGACCATCTTGCCTTCATGGAACCGAATACCGATAGGTCTAGAGGCTGAATTATGTGAGAGGCATGAGGAAGAAGGCCATAGAGTATGATGCCATGTTCCTCACACATCTCGAGCGTGCCAATGTCACTGTTGTGACTTGTGTGTCCATCGACGAAAAGGACGACTGGCTTTGGCTTTTCCGCGATGAATGGTATAAATACATCCTTTATGAAGGTGTGGAAGATAGTAACGTTCACCCATCCATTGCTTGATAGCTACATGAACGCGTCCTTGAAGCCAGCAAGGAAGTTGGCTGAGGGCATTCTTTTCCTCGGAAAAACCAGCAGGGGATTCACGTATTCCCCAGCAGCTGATGCACATGCCAACACTGTTATCTGATTCTTCGTGTTATTGCAGATGTTATACACATGCTTCATGCCCACCGGGGCCAGGACTCGCCTGGAGACAGGTGCGAACGCGAAACCAGTCTCATCTGCGTTGAAGATTCTATCTGGGCTTTTGAGGAGGGCTGGGTCTCGAGAGTCGAGATATTTCTTCATTTCGGAGAACCAGTCCCTAATGTCCTTCTCCTGCACTAGGGCTCGCTCCTTGCCAAGAGCTTGAGGGGATCGGAGGCTAAGTCCTGGGTGACGTTTTTTGAAGTTGGTCACCCAGTCCCTACCAGGAAGGCCATCTTCTCTCCTTACTGACGCTCCTCACAGGTCTAATATTTCCTTCACCTTTTGCCGCACGTCTTCGTGGGTGCGCCCCATTGACCGCTGGGCATGAACTTTGATCCACGTGACCAATCTCTCCTCCTCGTCAGTGAGCAGCTTATGAACTTGAGACTTGACGGCCCTTCTCCCCCGCACCTTGTCACCCAAAGTGGAGAGGGGAATTTTAAACGTTTTTGAAGCACCATATAGTGTCATACTCTTGGACCGGACCAGCTTCACTGCTTCCTCCATTATTTCTTGAGAGTAATTTTTATTTGGTTGGGCCATATTCAGTGGTTTATGGGAGATTTCCTTACACTGTGTTGTTTTGATAATTGATAAGAAAGAAAAGGTGCTGTGGACACAAGAAGGGGAAAGAAGAAAACAAGAATTAGACTAGACCAAGAATAGTATTCTTAAAGGAAAAGAACAAAAAAGAAAAAGAAGAAGATGTGAAAAGAAGAAATTGGTCATTTTGGGGATTAAATGACAACCATGTCCATATCCCATTTCCATATATATTGATTAATTTTGACATTAATACATTCTGATCATCTTCCATTGGCAATATAAAGCATCCAAAAGGAAAGAAAACAGTCGGTTTCAGTGCGCAACGCAGGTCCTAAAGAAATAAGTGAAACAGCTAAGGCTACAAGAAGCCACACTGTCAATGCCAAATGTCAAAAGCCGATATTGCGCACCAAAACGGACGGGGCAAATTTGGTCCGCTTCAGTGCGCAACCCCATCGGGCATGTTCCAGGCATTCAGAAGCAGCCTGCGATCGTTTGGGCTCGATTTTAGTGTACATTCTACGATACATAAGAGCTAGATTAACCAGAAGAGCTAATAATCGACCACTCAAGCGCTTAGTAATTCACCGACTCCGATTACGAAAACAATCAATATGAAGGGGCAAAACTTACTGACACCGTAGAATCATGTGTGTAGACAGGAACCTCCAAAACGAAAGTGCAATTTAGTTGTTATTGCGCATGCTCACATAAAGTAACCTCGTTTTCGCTGTTCTTATCCAAAACAAAGCAGGAGACCGGGGATTGCGCACCCAACAAGGTGCGCGGTGATGCGGTTTGACTCTAGATCTAGATTAAGAAAGTGGCTATTCTCACCCGCCCGGAAGTTCTCGCAAGATCTACTCCTCCCCTCTTCTCTCTCTCTCTGTCTCTTTCTGAATACTGTCTATCGGTGTGGACGATCAAATTGACCAAAACAAAGTTAAAAAATGATGTTAAAACACAAAAGTAAATTAATTTGGTTGTCTACAAAGATGCTACGGCTATTTAACTTTTCGAATCGAGCCGAACTACGCGGGTCGCCATTTTGTTTTGCCTGGAAATTCTCGCGCTACTCCTCTCTCTCTTTCTCTCTCTCTCTCCACTGCCCACAGACAAAATTGTACGCTTTTAGTAGGCTACAGTTGTAATGGAACGTTTGTTCACGGCACAGAATTCTACAATTTTTCTGTTATCACAGTGTAGAATTCTGTGGTTTAGGGTGAACGCAAACTTTGGTGAACGCGCACCGGGTGAGAATAGCCACAAGACTCGCCTGCGCTATTCTCACTCCGGGTGAGAATAGAGGTGGCCCTAGATTAATAGATATATATATAGGCCCGTGGCCACCACAACACCAACAATTTTGGGTCTAGAATCCAAGTCTTTTTTCAATTCAAGATTGTTAATTAAGTCCCTCGACAGTACACCTAACAATCACAAACCATGTCAGTCCGAAGTTTAGTCAAATTTTACTTTTATGCGAAAAAATTGCTTTGAAACCCTCTGTTTTTGTGATGTTGTATGTATAAATTTTGCTCAGTAAACTTGTAAAATATTAAGACAAGATGTCAGGGTGCAAAATTTATGACATACAACTTCACAAAATGCTGCATGTTTGACAAGATAAATTATTTGAGTTGTGTGTTGATATGGGGGGGGGGGGGGGGGGGGGAATAAAACTTATACATTAACTCATACATTTTATGGTTTGGGAACAGGTCTTGTGGCAAAGCAACCATTTGCAACAATAATAATTAGGTCTATAGTGAACATCAAAGTGTTTTCTGCTTGGTCTATTTTCTCCCAAATAGTTAACAGCCTCTGTCCTCAAGACATGGGATATTTAGCATTCTGTTTAGTTAACTTGGATTTATTTATTACAAATGTTTTTTTCGTGCAATGTCTCCCTTTACATATGTCCTTCAGGTCATTTGATATGTTCCGGATGATGTCATCTGCTGCAATGTCAACCATAGCGCGCCAGTTAAAGCAAGTGTCAGAGAAAGTTACTGCTGCAGGCCTGAAAAGACCAGAGGTCAGTCTGATTTTTATTACTGCACACCATAGTACACGAGAATTTGTCTAAATGTTGTAGATATTCAGTTGAATAATTTTTTTTGACAGCTTTCAGCATTTTTTTTTCCACAATGAGGATTTGGTACACAACATTAAGTGCACCCAGCTTAATGTTGTTGATTCTGCTCCTTGATACTGAAGGAGGTGGAGGAAAATGCTTTCAGGATGAACAATCTGGGTATATTAAATGCAGCCGTCTCGTCATTTTTTTGTAAAATCATATTTTCAAAACTGAAACATTAGAGTTTCTCTTCATCAAAGGTGAATTTTTTTCCCTCTGAACCGCCCAGTGGGTCTGTGCATTTACAAACAAAATTTTGTCTTTTCATACTTTGTTGCAAAGTTGGGTCCGTGGCTGGTTCAGAGAACAAATTGGAGGTAAATCATACTAAAATCGTAAGATGAGTATTGGGGAGATACAGTATGAAATTTTAAATAGCAAAGACCGTGGGTAGGCAAAATGCCAGAGATAAGTTAAAAGTAAATGAATTTTGGTAAGAAGTGAAAATATATCTGAGGTGTACGGGGAAGGGTAGCTCCTCTGGGGAAGGGATCAAGTGGAGTCCTTTTTTAGGAACTGTCATCCAACTTGGTCTTTGCCTGGCACCCAGCTTTCACATGTGGCTCATTGAAGCATTTGCATGCGATTGCAGTCACCACTGAAGCAATTGCACTGATTGGACAACTGAACCAAGTAAGGTCTTCCGTCAGGTCTAAAACCCTCAGTGAATTAGAGATGACCTCAAGCCAGCTTGTAAAGACTGTGTGGACAGACAGAGGAGACCACTAGCTTGGTTCAACAGCTTTAAAAACGCGGTCCAGCAACACACTGTGGGAAGTGGAGGGCATGTCAGAGCTCAAAAGAAGACCTGGCCATCTGCTGCCACCGGAGAAGTCCCCTTCAGTAAAGAATCATCATGTAAACTGGACTGGACCCAGACTTTCGCAGCTCAAAGGTTGGGTTGCTGTAGTGCAACAGTGCCTCCACCTTAAACAAAATCATGCACAGGTTTTCTTAGTGAAAGCACTTTCTCCCCTCTTTCTCTTTTCTTCTCTTTTTTTCCAACTGTGGATAATGAACGTGCAGTGGCGTCTGCTTTGGTCAAAATCTGAGGGACTGCAAAATTTTCTTGTTTTTGCCAGGTTTTTGGTTTAGAGAAGTTGTTCAAATAAGGACAAATAAAATTGGGTATAAAATTGGGTATTTTATTTTCTTTCAGTTTACAGCTGTTTTCAGGTTAAGTGTGTTCAGTTTAAGAAGACTCAACTGTACTTTGTAAAAGGAGAAGGATGTTTGGCCATAAGTCCCTGCATCAAGCAGCAAAGTTAATAATGAAACAAATGAAATAAGCGCACGTAACACCAATTCTGAAAGAACTACACTGGCTGCCAGTAAAAGCAAGGGTCAAATACAAAACTGCCGTTTTCTGTTTTAAATAACTGGATAATACAGCACCTATTTATCTGAAACAGTTCCTAGAATTATATCGTCTACTCGGAGCCCTTAGATCAGCCAATGACAAATTGATTCTTAGTACCCCAAAACAAAATTACAAAACATACAGCGAGTGTTCCTTTTTCTTCTTTGGCCCCTCATGTATGGAACGAACTCCCATTTATATAAGGAGTACCCCTACTATTCACATTTTCACAAAACAGCTGAAGCTGTACTTATTCACAAATAAATGCATACATGTCATAACAATGAACTGCTATTTTTAAAATTACATGTATATGTTTGCCTGACAGTGAGACTGAAGAAATAGTGTGTGAGAATGAGAGTGGAAGGGGGGAGGGGGGAAAAGAGACAGACACAGAAACAGACAGAGAATGTTATTTTATCTGTTGAGAACGAATGTTTTATTGGATGTTTTATCCTGTCTGTAACCATTCAAGTTATAATTTTTATGGTGACCGTTAGTGAGTTTTTATTGCATTCTACATTTTTAGTGAACGTACTGCCAGGGTCACAGGATGATTAATTTCCTCATAGAAATTTTTTATTCATATACATATAACTATGTTTTGCGTACACACATGTCCATTAATTTTTAAAGTGTGATATTTTTATGAATGTAATGCGCTTTTGGGCAGCATAAATGCTATTTATTTATTTATTTTTTAAATATAATTGTAGGTATTTAAATGTTCAAGGTTAGCTTTTTCTTAACAGTTATTATGAGTATTATTAATATGTGAAATGAGAATGCCAGAAAACCAAATCACACATAAATGAGACTGAGAATGCATGTATGGGATGTGTGTATTATTTTTGTGATGGATTTGAATTATATTTTTGAGGAGTGGATTTATTGAATACAGAACCTTTCCATGAAAATTTGATTCAAACTCACAAGAGAAATTATTGGACGTTTTTTTTTCTTCAGAAACTTCAGTATGTTCAACCGAGACTTGTTGCTGTGTCAAAAACAAAAGGTGTGGACATGATTGTTGAAGCATATGATGCTGGACAACGGCACTTTGGAGAGAATTATGTATGTTCGCTTTTTTGTTGAAATAAATTGTGTTGAATTTCATACTTTCTGTAGTTAGATAATTTTTAAACCATAATATGTTTGTGGTATGTAAGTATACAAGAAAAGTAGGTAGTTGGAGATCGCCAGCAATAGGTTCTACTTCTTTTTTCTCCCAGTGTTATTTCTGTCTGTCTGCCTGTCCCACTTTTTTCCCACATAAATTAATTGTTATTTTGTCTGTGTGTTTCTCTTTGCTCAAAAAAAGTTGTTTTTTTTTTTTTAAATTCAAGATTATGAATGAGAGAAATTTCAAGCTGCACGCACTCTCTTTTATTTTTCTATATTGGTCCTATCATAGACAGAAGTTAATTTCAGAGGGTCTGCCTTTTTCATGATCTTACTCACTGTGTTTATGGGTTTTGACTGACTGTCACAGAGCACACATACACGATAAACTATGGGTTACACATGTTATTACCGAATGTTGAATAGCAAGTCATATTTTTCTTTTTCCTTTTTGAAAGTAGTATACATTGAGCCTTGGTTCAAGGGAAATTGATCGGTTGAACAAACATGAACTTTTTATGCTGACATCCATCTTAATAATCTTAAGAAGTGATGCCATATTGTGGACAAATATGTTTTTATAATTTTGTGTCCCTTTTCAGCTTACGAAGAATCATTGTGTAAGTTTCAAAAGAGAGGGGTTTCCTCTTTCTCTGCTTTTGCATTATATATGTACATGGCTAGCCTAGTATAAGGGTAACAGTTATTGTTGAATAGACAATGCAAGTTAATTATTCAAGGACTGTTGTTTGTGTCCATATATTGGTTTTTGAACATCAGTAAAGGCCCTAGGGTGGTGTTTAGGTGTGCTCAGTGACATGGAACACTCATACTGAAAGCGAAGGAAAGGGAGAAAGAGAGTGAAGTTTCACTTGCCCAGTTTTTCTGACCTCTACAAATACGCTCCTTGCTGATCTTACAACAGGTTTAGTCAAAGATTGTATACTACAAGATGGTTCACCTTTTTTTGGAGGTGTCCTCAGCATTCTTTGAGCAGCCCTGCTGCTTGTTGAAAGTCAGAAGTTGATCACGAGGAAAAAATGCACATGGGCACACAACATAGGGCTGTCGTAGAATGTGCTATTTAGTCCCACAACTTTCTAAATGCTGGCTACCTTTATTCCGAGATTGCTTGTATGAAGGTTTAGTTACAGCAAGGTATTTTATTGAATTAATGATATGGGAATTTCTTTTCCTTTAACTCTTTAAACCCCATCGGACGCTGGGAGCGTCCGGCAGTAATAAGCCTGTTCCACGCTGGGAGCGTCCGATACTAGTGACAACTGTCTTGTTTTATTTAGCGTTATTGTTTTCTTGTTTTTCGAACTATTCCCGAACTAAGTTTATTAGTAATGGCTAAGCCTTTGTTTCCACCATTTAGAAGTTGGAGGCAAGCTTTTGGGGTTGTGATGAGACATAGTGCACCAGGTGTTGGTGACTGTAAAAAAAAGCCTCCGGGGAAACAATGGAAAAAACTCAGGGTTTAAAGAGTTAAGTGAGTCCTGAAGTTGATGACTTGAAATTATTTGAAAGCTTTTCCCACTTTTTGATTTTTCTATGATGCTTTTTGAGTTTACATACGGAGCAATTTTTGGGCATTTTGTAGATTTTTATTTGAAATTTTCTGTTCCGCAGGTTGTTGAACTGATTGACAAAGCAAATGATATTGAGGTATTGTCTTTTCCTTTTTTATGAGGTTATTTTTTCTTTAGAGCATTCATTGAAACCAGTGCCTCGGCTTTAAGGTGCTAGAAATGGATAAAAAACGATTTAGTCATAACTTGAGTTATGACAGTATTGAAAAACACTCGCAGGTTGAGACTTAAGATAAAGACTAATGTCACCCATCTTTGCTATTCTTATTTCTTATTTGTGTGTACAATGTGGTTTTCTGTAATTAAATTTTCATGAAGATATATATATATTAATTGGCTCAACCAGTATCACTTAATAGAGTACATAAATGAATATTATTTGATTGTTTGACCCCTATTATCACACATTTGTCTTAGTTATGGAACCTTCACAGAAATTACTCTGTCTTTTATTAACATTCGTTGTAGACTTATACAACCAAAACAGCTGTTCAGGATTCTGATATGACAAAACCCAGTGTGTTTGCTACATCCGTTTATGGTCTTGTCAAAGTATTTAGTAAAGCTTGTATCAATACCAACAATTTTTCCCCAGTTGCAAGATCGATGTGATGATATAAAGTGGCACTTCATTGGTCATCTTCAGAGGAATAAAGTATCAAAACTACTGGGTTCGTTTAATAATTCCTTAATATTTTCCAAGATTTTTTGGTACCATAAACATGTCTGTTTCTTAATTTAAATTAGTTTGTTTTCTGTAATTACATCACTTAGGCTGTTTTAGCCTCTTCATTTTCCTTTGCAATAACATTTGTTAAATGTAAGAACTAGATCTCAGTGCTGTTTAAATCATTTCAATATATACATATCAGTAACCGTTTTTCCTTTTTCCTTTTCCCCCAAAGAAGTTAAAAATGTTGAGGCTTTAGACTATAAAAGATATTTTTTTGAAATTTTGCTTTCTACCCTAGTTTTCATTGCTCTCCCCCCAAATGACTTTGTCTTGACCATCACTTGCTTGGAGTTGTAGCTCTCTCCTCTTTATTGTGACGGCTATACTCACTATGTAGCTTTATCATATGTCATACTTTTTGTGAGCCAGATATTCCCAACCTCTTTGTTGTGGAGACAATTGACAGTGAACGCCTTGCTAAAGCTGTAAATGATGCCTGGGTGCGGCAAGGAAAACAGGAGCCTCTCAATATCATGGTTCAAGTTAATACCAGTGGGGAAGAAAGTAAGTTGGCAAAATCCTTGGCCTCACTAATGTCTATGAATACCCCTTTGTGAACTGAAGCAGACAATGATACCCTCTCTATGTTAAACAGAGTGGTAAGATGCATAGATGCCTATTCCGTCATTTATTCTTGTGCACTTTGTTAAACTGTGTGTGAATAGACCTTGTGCTCATAAATGACACCCACCCTGCGGTTTGAATAACCAACTGAAGACATCATAATACCACTTCAGTGTACTGGTATCTGCGATTGTATCAGGCGAAACTGATGTATGATTGCATAGCCCAATTCTAGGTTTTGGCTCATTAGATCCTTCTTATCATGGTGAGCACCTCAAACTGAAATGTATTTGAAAAGGTAGTTAATAACTCATGTACACGGCATAAGGGTTGTGGGAGAGCTGATTATGTATTCTGTGTGGTAGTCTTCCTGTGATCTGAGGAAATTTTTCCCTCTTTTCGGGTTTTGTCTTTCCATTTATTCGTTATTTTGTCTTTTTTTTCCTCATTGTTCGTTAATCTGTCCATGGTTGTTTTTTCTGCTTTCCACTCAAGCCTTTATTTCGGCTCGTGTTGTACAGAGACAAGCACTGTCATTGGGGACTTCCTTTTATTTTTGTCGCCCTTTTTCTTTCGTTCTCCACTTCGGGTGAACTCTTAAATAAAAATTGATCAGGGATGTTCAGGTACTTGTTGAGAATGTGCAGTAAGTCTTATCTCTTGAACTTTTAATTGTCGAAGAATATTCTCTCTTTATAGCCCCACAAATTCTGGACTGAATTCGACTTGGGGTCTCTGAGTTTTTCATATTAACAACAAAAGTAGAACTTTTTTTTAAAAGGTAGTGCATTCCCTGGCAATGACTATGCATTTTGCCATCAAATCTCAGTTCAAGTATTTTTTTCATCTTTCACTGCTTTTAAATGACTTTAAGACGAGCAGTAAGTGTTTTAAAGTGGACCATTGTATTTTCTCCGAGAGACCCTGCCATAAGGCTCTTAGTGAAGAAACAAAGTCTTCTTTTCTGTAAATGGTATCCGGCACCCTTTCAAAATACTTCCTTAAATGATGTGGCTCCACATTACAAGATGTTGAAAGAGTGATTTGTAGGTAAATCTTCCTTTCAATTCCCATTTGGTAGCTTTGTGAAAATTTGCTCGTCCAAAGAAGGTAGCTCCAAAGTAGAAGATTAGCTTAGCAGAGAGATTTTCTGGTTTGGGTAGCTGAGGGGGCTGACAGTGATTCGGAAAGGAGGTGTTTGTTTTGGGAACGCCTTGGAAATAAAGTGATTTTGCAAGCGTTTTTCTCTTTTCGTTTTTATTATCCTAGGCAATGCTGTTTAATTTCAGACTAAAAACTTTTATGGACACCGTTCCATAATCTCTTGGGGATTCCACACCCACTGGCTGTCACCTAGTCATGTATTGGGCATGATCTTATTCAAGTGCAAGAGTGGGATAACAGTAGGTCTAGTTCAACATCCTTTTTTCTAATAAATGTATTATTTTTAGACCATGGAGCATTCTTCTACTTCTTGAATGTGTAAGGGATTTTTCAAAAATTTTTCCAAGATGCATCAACTTTGAGATTGAGCATCGCTGCCTACTGTCACTACTGAGAGACTTCTCCGTAGTCTTAATTTGGTGTGCTTAATAGGTCATTTTCAGATCATCTTGTATGGTAACGACAAAACTGAACAAAAAGAAAAAAAATCATTCTTCGTTTTTGGCCATAAAAGTAAAAGATTATTTTCACTTGCCTTTTTTTGTTGTACACCAAGAAAGTAAGCCTTTCATGAATTTCAGATTGGTGTGTCTCATTAAGAAATTTTAGTTCTTGGCCAGTTGCATTATCATTGGAGCAAAGTACAGTATGTAAATTTGGAATGTCACAGTGATCCAGTGATTTTGTTTTAGTTGTGCAGTTTGCAAGACAACTCTTATGTTGTGGAAAGATTTTCTTTTATTGTCTATTATGTTCCCCACTGTGCTGTTTTTTTGAGATGCTGGGAAAGTCTCCCTGTTATGCTGTTTGCTTTTTGTTTAGAATCAGCTCTCTCTTTAACAGTTGTGGAAAATAATGTCATTCAGTACTTCTGCAGAAAACAACCCTTGACAATTGCCATGCAACCAGTCAAAGAATGGCTTGAATCTCTGAAAAGGAGAACTCTTCAAGATTGCCATGAAAGGATGTGTCAGCCTTGTCATGAAAGTTTACAAAGTCATGAGATGATCATATTTTGTTTAAGAAAGGAGCATGCATTTGATTAATAAATTAGAAAAGATTTTTTTTAAGGCACTGCTTTTCAACTGTTGGTTCAGGTTTTTGAAACTTCATTCTCTACAGCTTTTATCAATCATTATTCGCATAGGAAGGAGAGATTTTTAATGTCTACACGAGAATCATTCACGGGACAATATTTATGTGCTTAATGTCCACAGTTCTTGTAACAACGTCTGTGCTGGTTCTTTGTGAAAGTCTTTATTTTCCTATAGCAATGCGCATTTTACAGACTGTTATGTATGAACCTGTCAAACTCCTCCCTGTGTCGACAGATAAGAGTGGATGTGCAGTAGGAGAGACTGCTAAACTCGTTGGTTACATCAGAGAGAATTGTCCAAAGCTCAACATCCTGGGTCTAATGACAATAGGGGCTTATGATTATAACCCAATGGCTGGACCCAACCCAGACTTTCAGGTGAGATGTGCAAGTAGAATCATTGGTGGCCAAGATGTGAAGGCTTTTGTAGTGAAATTGGAGTGAAAAAAAAAATGAATCTTAAGCCTGATAATTATTGTACTGCAAGGCTTGAGAAACTCATATGTCGTTGTAATCATTTTATCGCTGATGAAGTTTTTTATTACACATTTTGAAATACGGTCGAACCTGCTCTAACGGCCACCTGTCTAAAACTATTGCCTGTACAAAAGACTTTTTTTCTCGTTGTAATGACACTGATGTCCACTTGGTTAATAAAAGGCAGCCACTTTTCTCCTCGACAATGGGTGGCCACCTTGGACAATTTGGACGGCAATTTTTGTACTTGCATTATTTCCAGGTGTACGATTTTGATCTGGATTTTGTAAGTTTGAATAACAACTTTTAAATATATTTACAATTTTACAAATAAATTTCAAAGACTCCTTTTTTTTTTCAGGCACTTTTTCAAATTCGAGAGGAAGTCTGCAAAGCACACAACATTCCAATTGACAAAATGGAGCTCAGCATGGGCATGTCTTCAGATTTTGAACAAGCTGTAAGGGAAACTGTCATTTTTTGCTGAATTCATTTATGTTTTTGCTTCAAATTGAAACTTCCATATATATGGTCTAGTGCCCGGAGTCCTAAAGAAAAGATACCTTAAAACAAATTAGATTCAAACAAAAGATCTCACTCTTCCTCCCTGCCATTCTCATTCTCTTTTCCCTTTCCACTTTCTTCCCCTCCCCTTGTGCCTCCTTTTGCATACATTTCACTTATACTCTGTTAAAAATCATACGTTAAAATTTTTTTGGCCCTCAGAGTGCTGTATGCTTTAAAACAACCTTGTCCTCTGCATGAGTACAGATATACAATATCATAGACCCAGAGTTCTTGTGATTTAATATTACTTTTTTCTGATCACGAAGAAGTTGCTCGTGGGTGGTCGGCAGGCTTTCTGATGTGGTTTGCGGCCTCTTTCCCTATCAAACATTTGTTATCCATATCTCTCCTTCTTTTCAATGCTACTCTCTAATAAAACCTCTAATCTTCAGCATTTATGACCTATTTGTGTTGCAAGTGCCACTTTTATGACTATGACTGATTTGTGTTGCAAGTGCCGGTTAGAATCTGCTGGATTTGTGTTATTGATTTGAAATATTGATGCTGATGTTTGATAAGATTTGAAAAAATAGGCCTACTCTTATTGTTACTTCCTCTTTTCTGCGAGTATACAGTAGACCTCACATCTAGCGAATTCTTTAGGTCTGACATTCATTTTTCACCATCCAAGGTTTTTATGTAAATGAGTTTTGACAAACACGCGCCTTTAAGATTAATAAAGAGGAATAAACAAAAACAGAGATTCTTTCCTCTTTTGCTGAGTCCTCTGCAAGTAGATTTGAGGTTTACTATATATGACATAATGATCCATGCAAGTTGATTGCTTTGGCATGTTGTCTGTTAATAGCGCTTCATTATTAATTTGTGCCAATTTAGAGGTACATTAAAACTCTGATATGATTGGGGGGGGGCAGGTTGTCATAATAAGCTATAGATATAGATCTAAGTACTAGCTCATGCACTGGTCTGTGGAACCAATTATTTCCATTGGTTAGGCCATACACTGCAACTGGTTCAGTGAACAATGTGCTTCATGACACAGACATGCATATGAGCATGTTGGCCCTTTTCACAAAGTATCTGCAAAAAAGATCTCATTGTTTTTAACAAATATGCATATATTCAATTAAAATGAAGGTCGAACCCGATGACTTCGTTGTTTTCAAGTTTCACTGTGTCAGGCCTAAGCAGAAAAAAAGATGATAAATTAGGCTCATTTTGCTGAATGTTGATTGACTTCCTATAAGTGGAAAGAATTGTTATGTAAATTCAATGAAAATGAGGATGTTTATAGTTTACACATCATCTGTTCCAAATATGTCTGTATAATAACACAGATGTTGTTCTCTGCATCTAAAGTTGCTTTTTCTTCTTCAGATTGAGCTGGGCAGCACGAATGTGCGAGTTGGAAGTACAATATTTGGTGCACGGAGCAAACCTCAGAGCAGTTCAGAAGAGAATGCCACTCCAGCAAAATCCAGTCAAGGCACTGTCAACTCTGCAGTGGACAACATGACTGAAGCAAGTCTTCCATCAGAGCAGATTCAGAATTTAGCCTTGAGCTAGGTTTTTCTTTTAGTTTTTTTTGGTGTTCTTATCCCCCCCTTCCTTTGATTCTACTCCATTTGTCTCCCTTTAGTGCGAATGCCAAAACAAGGGATAAGGATGAGAGATGTGCCTCTTCTTAATCAGTTGTGGACTTGATTCTCTTTTGTTCTTAGTCAAGGATTGTACCATCAGGCAAGTTGACTGGTGATAGTCAGGTCTGATGTAAACTGAAAAGCTGAAAGGGAACAGTAATGCAGTTTTACACACTCCAGGTTTTCATGCCCATGGCTGCAAAGTAGTTTTTGAAGGCTCCAATCCCTTAAATGCTCTCTTTATCTTTGGCTGCAACAGACAAAGGTGGTCTAAAGAGTACTTTGTATGGTACTGGTGTTTTATTGCTTTTTTCATGTAGACCTGCTTCCTTCAATAAAGTCTTCTGTAAAAGATTCCAGCTCTAGTTTTGAATGGAATTTACATCCATGGAATATAGAAGTACATTTCTCCCAATCTGTCAGTATTATTTTCCATTTACCGTACCTTGGTTCTTTGATTGCCAATGAGATTATTTCCAAAGAGACTGCCTATGCATGGGTCAGGTTTGAGACTGAAGTTGCAAACTGTTGTCCTGCTGGGTTATGAAGAGCCTGTGCCATTACTGGGTTGCCTCTCTCTCTAAACCAATGCCTTTACTTCGATTGTTTTTGGCATTTTCCTTCACACGTACATTGAATTGGCGGACCTCTGTTAACCCTATTACTGTCCATGGTAAACTTCAAAACGGTCACAGGCATTTGAGGTGAACACAGGTGTCTGTTTTCAGATTGATTTTCTGGGTTTATATGAGACTTAAAACCTCCCTAACATATATTTTCAGAAAGGTAATTGGATTAAAAAATAGGAGCAAAACACATTTGAATAAAATTTTGATAATTATTGTTGTCATGGATACCAAGAAATCCAAGATGGCCACCATTTTGGACGTATGACTCATTTTAGATACCCCCTGACTCATTCAGATGACTTCAAATCCAAGTTTGTCTTGTGTCAATGAATTCTACAAAAACAAGCTTTCCATAAATATATAGTTTCTGGGGTTCATTACTTGTATTTTGTTCGTAATGTGCAAAACTGGTACAGGCAGAAGGAAAAATACAAAATATGTAAAACATTACAAAGCAGACTTCAAAACTGATGAAGTACATGGCGGAAAAAATGAACAGAGGAATAAAGGCAAACATTTCTACTTACTTGACAGGCATTCTCAACATTACGTAGAATCCTTCCTATCAAGTTCACACAACTGTCATTTTTGTCTCTTTATCCCACAACGCTGAATATCCAGGGTGTGAAAACTGGTCTTCACATCGTTCATGAACTCCAACTTGACAGATAGGGCACTAGTGGCGCGTGCGCTTTCTGTTGGACTCTTTTTTCCCTTGTAGGAGTTCCAATCTGTAAACAGTGGAACGAGGATGGGGGAGGCCTGGGGGCGTAGCAAGAGGTGGCGGTGGTGGCTGAGCATGTGGTCCGAGCCCCAGAGATCATGAATGACAGCCTGGATGAATGCCTGTTTCAAACGGGCTCCAGTTGGATGTTTCAGTTTGTTAAACTCAAATACTTTGAGCCTAGCAATGTCCAACAAATTGGAGAACATTTTGACCCAGTAGCGATGGGTAGCTCTCTCGGAGGCGAAGTGATCTAACTTTTTGTCACAAATGTCCACTCCACCCATGTAGGCGTTGTAACTAAAAATCATGGCTGGCTTGAGCTTTTCCTGGCCCCTGACCTGCTTTGTCTCATTTACTGCTGCATGGACAGTACTGAGGAGCAGCACAGGTTTTGTTAGTGATTTTTTCTCTCTGAAAGCCACAGATAAGAGTGGACCTCTTCTCTTGTACCTTGTGGCTCCAACGTCGAGTTTGTCGTTCTGACTCATGGTAATTAAACTTGGTTTACTTTTGGGTTTTTTCGTTAAGGAAGCATGTTTTTCGCGAAGTCCTTCTAGCATATCATATATAATATAATACGTTTACTGCAAGTAAGATGCTAATGGTATTGCTCCTCAGTATTAACAATGGTATGCTTTTGGGGGTTTTCTCTGGTTGTTTTCCTTGTATACAAAATTACTAGCTTGAAACATTAGTTATGATTGGAACTAACCATAACCAGAGGTTAGATAGAAATATTCTGGCATGACCTGAGAGGTTGTTGCATCTTGATCCATAAAATAAAAAAATTGCCATGCTGGCTGCATTTATGCCTTGGGTGATTTTGACATGGCCTTGGTGCAACCACTGACGTTCTACGGTCTTATGTCATGCAAATGCTATCACAATTAATTCGTAACAAATAATCAATGACTCAGCATTGAAAACTGACACTTTTTTTCTTTCTCGTTTATCTGCACTTGAACAATTTACCTAAAAATCTCTCAAACCAAGTTTTTCTACAAACATTTAAAAAATGTTCCTACCAGCTTCAATAAAAGTGGAAATGAAGAAGGATAAGGATAATAAATCAACAGATAATCCAAGGCTGTCCTCAGAGAAAGTTGCATGTGAAAATAGCAAAAGTTGCTGGAAAAATTAGCAAAAGTTGCAAGAAAAGTTGCAAGATGTGTATAGCTGAAAATATGTCCTGGAATTATTGGAATGCATTGTTGGTATGCTCATTCCCATCAAAGTAACCAACATGAGTTTTGTTAGGTCAAAATCAAAAGTTAAACGTGAATGTCTACCAACCAAAAAAAAACAAAACTGCATGGAGGTTACATGGTGTATAAAAACTGTCCCCTGACATATGTGCCAGGTCCTTAAACTCTCCCTGACTTTGGGCAGGTACGATCAGCATGGTTTGGGGCTGGGCTGTTCAAATATAATCTTACACCTTCTTTGGGACCCCCCCCCCCTCCTCCTCCCCATCTTGTAATGTTACATTATTCGCTTATTATAATAATGGCTTTTATATTGCGAAATCCGTGTTACGGTCACTCTTCTGTGCGCTCGTTATTTTTAGTCTTGGAATAAAATTTAGGTGTTTTTAACTAAATTTTATGATTATTTTTCCAACTTTTGCGGAAAATTGGCTAAAATTTGCTAAATCAAGAAAATAGCAAAAGTTGGTTAGGGGCAAAAGCTGCGCGCGCAAGTTGCGAGTGCGAAATTCTCTGAGGACAGCCAAGGGCAAGTGCTCTGTTAATCTTTGTTCACTCTTCTGCTTTATTTAGAAGATAGTGAAAGTGGTTGCACCAAGGTGTGGTTACACACAAGAACAGTTTACCTTTGCTCTCTTATACCCAATTGCTACATTTAGCCTGACAGTATGTCAGCTGTTATGTTTTGTCAAAAATTGGCTGTTGAAGACAGCCTGAAAGTTTACAAGGAATTTTTTATAGTTTTGTCAAATTTTAGAAACTTGTTTTCAGGTGTGAACAGTTTTATCTTTGTTCATGTTTTGCTGAAGATGTGCACCGAATAAACAGTGTTATATTTCATTAATTTAACAGACCTTTTAACACAGTAATAGTAAGGTCATCCAAGAGTTATGACCACAAACTCTATATCCATCCATGATGAAACCATTCTGGTGGGTTTAGAGTAGAACAATGAAAATTCAAACATAACAGGATTGCATGTACCTCTGTGCAGCATGGTACAGATTGGGCTAATGGAACACCTGCAAACTATGTCAAATCAATGAAATTTTACTGTCTTTCAAGGCAAATTATATATCATGAAAAATTACACACAAATTAATGTGCTTAGAATTTTATTTCTATTCTGGCGTTTTGCTGTCTGTAGGGACTTCATCATGCATAAATCAAAATGTCTATGAAAGCGAGTCATGCATATATTCTTGTCAGGTAAAAGTGACTAGGGAGGTAAATGATATAATATGGTTCTGCAAAATAAAGTGATTTGGAAAGTTAAAGTTGAAGAGGGAGAGAAGTAATTCAATTTTATTCATGTACCGGGTATGTTAAAGTACAGATACTGTTGACTTCTGTGTTTTTTACTTCTCTTTGACAGTGACACAGGTAGCAGGTACAGCGGTTAGTTTTTTAACTTTTTAAACTAAACACTCATAAGTAGGTTATGTTATTGTCACCTTTTATAATGTGAGTACCAGCAAGCTCTTCTTTAGCACCTGAGATGTGATGCCCTTGAGCAGGAATGCTTTGCTGGAAGTAACACTGTACATGTGTTCACAACTCTCAAAATATGGTTGTGTGGTCCTGCCTCTAAGTGATTATATGTTATTTATTATGAATCTGAGGTGGTGTGTGTTATGCTCTGATGGTTCAGAGTATGGTTTATTTTGCTCAGCATACTCATGAAATTATGTTAATGACAACTGTCAATCAGAGATAAAATAAACTGAATTCTTTCAAAATGCATCTTCACGCAGTTTGGTTTTTTCTTTTATGTACCGGTACTAGATATAATAAAATTTTACCTTTTATTAAGGCGGACCCTCCATAGACGGCACGCGGCACATGACTTGTCGGCACGTGCCGTGCCACAGGCTAATACCCCTCCCTGCATAGGCCATAGAACGACATCACAACACAACACACCACAACCATGGATTCGTCTGATGAAGATACTCTGATCATGTTAGCAATTCTAAATAATCGGAAAAAGAAGAGGAAAAAGCGGATCATGTGGTGAAGAGAACATTTTCTATTGAGGAGTAGTAGAGGAGAGTTTCATCGAACTTTCGGCTCCTTGATGAGACGTAGAGATGAGACATTGTTCTTCAACTACCTAAGAATGTCATACAGAACGTAGGGAGTATGATGAACTGAAGAACCTAGTGCTTCCTCGTCTACAACCAATTGGTTGTAATTATCGGGAACCAATATCAGCAGAAGAAAAATTAGTCTTGGCACTCCGGGTTTTGGGGGTCCCAAAGAAGCGGTCGGTCTCTCACAAGTTTCATAATTTTTTTCTTGTAGTCATCCATTTTGGCAGCATACGACACAAAAAACGAGCAATGCGGCAAAGCAAGGCACGCAATGTTTCGTCGTGGCTGTGTCGTGCCGTCAATGGAGTGTGCAACTCTAAATGGTTGTGTTTGATTTTGTTTCGCACCCGTGCCATGTGCTGTGTGCTGTGTGCCGTGTTCCGTCTATGGAGGGTCTGCCTTATGTAGGCTACAAATGTTTTCCCCTTTTGAGAGCAGTTGTGAATTGTGAGTGAACATTAAAAAAATTTAACCATAGGTGTGTTACACCTCCATCAACATCAACACAAGTTAATTGGGGTGCCCAGAAAGAGGCCACCGAAATTGTTTTGGCGTATCGGAGACATACTCTGCGTCGATCTTTCTGAGGGTAGAACATGATGGACACATATATTGTGTGTGTGTGTGTCTGGAGAAAGATCCTAGTTGTCGGCAAAGCTATTGTGGAGCATTGGGGTGGAAAGGCCAAAAAGGGTTTTATAATATTTTAAGTTTAAGTCTAAATATTTTTGTATTAATTTAATTTATTATTTTTGCTACATGTACTTTACCAAAGGTTAAAAATGTGGCAGAAAAAATTGGGTCAACATAGTACGGTTGAAGCCGTTTTTCTCAAAGCTTTGTTTTTACACTTTATGTTGCAAAATGTGGCATTTCTATAGAACTGCGCAAGATATGTGAAAAAAAATTAATTGGGCCTGTTCAGCGTTGAATTTGCTACAAGAATAGGCCCCTATTTCGATATATAAAAAAGTTGACAAGTTAAAATAGTAACAAAATGTGTGAACAACTGTTCTTCTTGAACAAAAAAACCTGTCATTTGGCACACATATCTGCACAACACAAAGAGCACACTTCTCAATATCGCATTTACCCACGGTTAACAAGAAATCTGCAGGTTTAAAAATTCTAGTTTGGGTGATTCTGTAGAATTTGGGTTGCTAATTTCAAAAGTTTAATCAGATTTGGTCTACGTTTCCTTGTTGAGTTAATGGTCAGTTGAATATTTCCCCAGTCCAACCCTTTGACTATGACACCACACATCCAGTGACGGGGCACTCTTTTGCACCGAGTAGCCACTGTCGGGGAGAAGGGAGGAATAAAAGTGTAATTCTTAAGCTGCCGCAGATCAGCGCAGAGAGTAGATATCCTGTCTCTATGCGGTTGTAGAAAGTGTATTGATTGATTCTTATATTATGATTCTTATATTATAGCTTACACAACAGTGGTTACGTGAGATAAATCTACAGCCTCTGTTTTCTCACTCAGGTGGCAGGCTTCAACCCTGCCTGCCAGGGTCAACCCGAGCTGAGAAGGATAGATCATCCCAGCAAAGAAGAGACCAAGACACTCATTAAAAATCAATCCTATTCCTGAACTGAACTCATGTCTCCTGTAAGCGCCAGAGAAGTGCCTAACCACCACTGACACTGGACTGGTGATATAATCTGTGCTAGAGTCGGACAGTTGAACAGTAATTCCACAATTCTGACATCAGCCAGGAGTCAGTGATCAAATGAAAGTGAAGAGGTTATAATTATATAACACTATTTACTTGGATTTTTTTATTTTTTTTAAACCAGCGCTAACTCCTACCTTGAGCTAATGAGCTCAGTAGAATTGTACATGGGCTCTGCATCATAGGCATATATCCTAATGCATGAAGCACCACAACACTAGATTTTAACCCTCTTACAGCAAACAAACCAAAAATCCTTCTTTGCACAGTATCTAGTAGTAGTAGTCTCCGCCTAAGATCCCGCTGTTTTAAGAATTTTTACAATGTATAAAGATCCCGCTCTGAGTCTGATTCACTCTGAAGGTCTACATTTGGCTAAGATCCCGCATTTCAGATCATGATTTACAGAACAATACCCAGGCGGGCACAGTCGATCAGCCAAGAGTGAAAAGTCGAGATGATTGAACTGCCCGTCACGTCAAAGATCAGCCACTCTAAAACTCGATAAAACAGTACAATGGTGTGAACTGACCAAAGCATTTGTTTGCCCCAAACATCGCACTTGCATCTGAGCTATCCACCTAAACTTACATCACACTCACACACTGGGTGGTAAAGTAAAGGCCTACAAGTTCGCCTCTGGCGGGATCACATTGAGCTGTGAACTCTTCCCTGACCATAGCAGCTGAGTTGATGTCATACACCAAAATTATTGGCGTGTGTGGTCACAACGTAATGGTGCGTAACGACAAAGGCGGGAAGGGGGAACTAGGTCTGAGGTGGAAAGCTATATGTATAAATTTTGGACAGGCAAAGGGGAGGGGCAACTGGATAAGCGTAGATCTTCAGACAGGATAATACTGTGAAATTAGTACGCCTCATGGTTGACCACTCTTTGCTCGCCATATGTTCATAAACCCACCCAGGGGTCATGTCATGTCAGTTGATTTTAGAGTGAAGGAAGACCATTTTATTGGTTGTGGGCCTTAGCATGGGTCACCATGGATTTTTACCTTGGTGCGTCAGCCAAGATCCCGCATTTTCCTTGCTCTGAGCACCAGGATCTAAGGCGGAGACTAGCATTGTGGAATAAATAACACTGGCCTGCACCAAGACACTTTAGTAAGGTTGACCCATTGTGGTCTCTTGCCCTGCGTATTTTCAAACCCCAGTTTGTTGTATCCTGAAAATCCAATGATGTAGGCCTACTCTTTCTTATGAACTCTTCTTAACTTCATAGCTTCTTCACAAGGTACCATTCCCTCCCTTACTCACTAACCCCTCAAAACAATTGATCAATCTTAGCCACTAGTATTTGAACATAGGCCTATATATTGACTGGCTCATAAGAGCTCCATGAAGAACCATTCAGCCTCAGGAGTAACTAACAATTAGTTCCAAGCACACTTCCTAAGTAGGTCTACATAATAAATAGCACAGATAACAGACATTTTGATTCTGAAGGTCTAATTTTTCAACATATTTTCACAAGGTGTGAGACAAAATTGTTGTCAATGAGGAAAGCCAGCGACCAGTTGTGCCCGGCCGGGCAGATGGCTGTGCCATAATTAAGAATGTTGTTGTTTGATCGCTCACCATAGAACTTCACAGCTCGGGGGTAAGCTCAGCTCAATGATGCAATCAATCGCAGAAGATCACGGGCAGGATAAACAACAGTTTGCCATTAATTTAATAGCACGTACGTATTAGAGCATGCTTTTCATGTCACCCTGGGTGCATGCTACCACAGCAATACCAAGATTCTTCAAGGACAAGAAAGTAAAAGGAGTAGATATAAAATGAACCTGCCAAGGCCATCAGCAGGAAATTCACAAACACAGAAAGTTTTTTAAACAAGACATCAAATGTTTTATTTCAGGACATTTATCACATCAATTTTTTTTTCAAATGACATCAAGCCAGAAAAATGAAAAATCCTGACAAACAATGAATTGTAATCATGTGACACAGAAACAACGCAGCCCTGAACTCTAACCACTTAGATCTACAATTTTAAAGCTGAAGCAGAAGAAACCTCAAAATGTTTCATCCCACACAGCTATATATGACCTGTTCGCTGCCAATCCATTAGGGCAGTGCTAAATTAAAGACATCAATGTTGTATGACTATGAAGTCTGAAGTGACCCTTCATATATTGAGGTGAAAACTTCACACTCACAAAGGATAAATTTCACTTACAAATCCAATCTACTATCAGAACAACATTTTGTCTACAAACACATTCTACTTTATGGTGCCAGGCACTGGCAGTAATGTACTTCTTTTAACGGTGACAAATATTTATAAAACATTTACTCTCCTTTACAGCAAGGTTACATTGGAATGTCAAGGTTCTGCCGATTGGTCCTACTTCATATTTTCCACCATTTCAATGATTCAAGCATTTCTTAAGTCTATTCTTTTCGCCTACATGAAATGACAATTGTTGTGACTTTAAGGAATTATTTATGGAATTTTTGAACAATCATTTTTGTTTAAATTCTGTAAAATTAAAATCATAATAAAAGCCAAAGAACATGGAAAAATGTACAAAATGCATTTAATTGAGTTTTGAATTGTTAGCAGACACAAATGAAAATTATGAATCACTGTTGATATTTGTCCCCCCCAAAAAACTATAAAAACTGAAAGACAACAGCTGGACAAAGAGCATACTTCACTACAAGTTTAAAAGCCACTTTTCAAGTTAAAATGCAAATCAGCAATACATAATCACTACTGCTTTTCATGATTATAATTTTATTATTCTCTAATACCCTGTTCCCCTTCACAAATAATACACGGTCAGATTCTGGCTTCACAGCCGACTGAACACAGAAACTCTTATAAACAAGGCAGAGAAAATCTACAAACTCCATTAAAAGAAAACTCCACACATAAAGTTGAGCTAGCCTTTTGAAATCGGGTCTAAACCTCTCTCCCCCCCAAAAAAGGTTACAAACTGTAGTCCTGTGTCTTGTAACAAGCTATGATGACAAAGAAGGGAAAGGCCCGCAGCCATATTCCTAAAATAAAGTCTGTTAATAATGTTTAGAGAGTGCAGTGTAATAATAAAGAGTGTCCATGAGAAAAGAGAAATTATATGATTTTGCTGACAACAAAACATAATAATACAATAATATTGCTCAAAACAATACAATTATAGCAGGACAAAAACAAGAAATCATTCGAGCTTACGAAGTAAAACTCTTAGACTTAGACCAAAGGTGGAATTAACAAAATAAGACGAACACTTCAAACAGGGGAAAAAATGTCAGCTAACTCTTCGTTATGGCTGCAAAAGACGTGCCCAGTGTCAAGGAAAATTTCTGCTCTAATTCAAACTGTGTAACACATTCACAAAAATTAAACAAAATTGAAAAAATGGCTGTTTAAAAAAACTGAAAATGCTCCCCATGAGTTTGCTCTACAACATACAGTTGTGAGCTATTTCTCCAAAAAGTGCAGAGGACTAGAAAGAGGTTTGAATACTGAAATCTCGATAATACCATCTTTAAGCCTCCAAATTTCCTACTGCCATTTTTAAGATGTTCCTAATGCACATGTTTATCATTTCCCCAAGAGCCTAAAGCCAAACAAAGAAACCTGATAAAAACTTTCACCTTACAATTGTTCTTGGAACAAAATAAAGTGTGAGATACCCAAACAACTATCACTAATATCACAGCATAAACACTCATTTCAACAACATCGACGAAAACTACATTCATCATCCTTCATACAGTTCAGATAGAATATATATATATGACAAACACTAAGAGTGATGAGGAAAATAACAACAGAAAAATCCGAAGAACAAGCAATACAAAGATCACAACTCTGCAGTGAAAAGAGCCACACAAAGTGTAGCAAGTGTAGAGGGATTTCATTTTACAGTGAATATTTGAAAATGAAAGATGTAGACTTATTTACAGGGTGAACCTAACTACAGGGAAAGCAATATATAAAAGATATGCAAAACATAATATTAAAATCATTTTCAATTAAATTAGACATTGAGTATTTACAGTTTACACATTTGTATGGCATTTTAACGAACTTGATGAAAATGTTAAAATGAATTACTACAGACACAAAATGGAGGCTGAAGGCAGCAGTAATGCATGGTGTTGATTTGATGGTATTTTGCTTCCAAAATAAAATATGAGATTTAAGAGGGGACAGTTAAGTTTTCTGAGTTACATTCAACAATACCAAGTCAATGGGTTTCGTTTTAGAAATGACAGAAGAGAATAAAACTTTCAGCATGTCAATACTTCACAAAATTAGAAGGAAAAAAGTTCATTCAGTGACCCTTTCCTTTTATTTATGGTGCACCGTTTTTTTTTTTTTACGTCCGCAGCTTTTTCATAATTTAAACAAACAAAATGACAAAATTGGAATAACCCTTGATGCCAAAACTGTGAGTTTTACTCATAGATCATAGATATAACCATACAGAACTTTAGAGGGGCACTGCAAGTACTTTTTGTATGTTTACAAAGCAAAAACACAGACTAGGTTCACATTCAATATCATCATATTTGCCCCGTTGCTCTTCACCATAAGGATACCTTTCAATCATAAAAGGCAGAAGAAAGCAGAAAAATATGGTTAGGGAGAAGAGTGGAGAGAAAAATGACGGCACTAAAAATGACATGAGGACATCAAATCTTATCTAGCAATAAAGATGATCAGAGTGTAGTTACTATGTACACAGTATTCAACTTTCGTTTTTTTTATACATTCCGAAGTTGAATTTTGTTCACTGGTAGCACATCAGTAGAAAAGTCATTTTTCTTCCAGCTCTGACCACTGCGCTGATTAAATTGTCTTAAAAAATTATTTAAAACTTTCTAAAAAAGAAATACTCAGGATCACAAAAGCACCGATTTCAAATTAAATCAACATTATCTCATGGAGAGAAAAAGTTTTGCCTGACACGATATTTTTAATAGATCTTGTAACATTAAAATCACAGGGGAAAATGAAGCTTATCGTTCCGGTCAAAACAGATGTGATTCAAGTCTACAGAGATCAGGAGAAATGCTTTTTATGCTGGTCACAGTACAATAGATGAAAACAACTTCCTGTACAGGGTAAAAAAAAAAATCAGCTGTCATCGAGCCTTGAAGAATCATCGCTGGGGGGTGTCAATGCTGGATATGTCAATTTCAAGCTGGAAATAAGTTAAGGAACGTGTGATAACCCATTAAATTCAGAATCAGTCACCTGTAAGAAGTAAATGTTCCAATTACCCAAAAGCAAGAACCAAAAGACATAAAAATTAATTCATATCATCATCAAAAAGTGCTATACAGGCACTGTCAGATGTGGAAAAATAATGTTATTTTGTAATAATTTATGTGTGTGTGTCTGTGTATGTAAGTGTGTGTGTGTGTGTGTATGTGTGTGTCAATGTAAATGTGTGTATGTGTGTGTGTGTGTGTGTGTGTGTGTGTGTGTGTGTGCGCGCGCGCCCACAAGTTGATGAGTGTGTGTGCCTGTACATATTTGACACGCCGCAGCAAATTTCTCTGTGGAGATCAGTAAATTTTTATTTTTTTATCTTCACATATACAGTCAAACCTGTGTAAGACTGCCATCCAGAGAAACCATTCCTATCTGAGCTCCAAAGAATCACATAAATTGATGTACAGAAAAGAGGGAAGACACGGAATAACATCAAGAGGCTAGCCCAGGATAGAGAAAGATGGAAAGTGTTTGCAGCCTATACCCCATTGCAGGGTGAGAAAGGCAATGATGATGATGACTTGACATTGAACTTTCAAATTTGAGAACACTTATGAGGAAAGATAGATTTCTTACTTCTTGACATTGAAAATCAAGCTCCTTATAGTTAGGGAAAACCAGATATGAAAGTGTTTCTGACACCAAATATATAAGTAAAGTTATGTTTTCAAACTTCAACGTCAGTATATTATTAATTTGCCCTATTTTCTGATTGGTTGCCAAGTTTAATTTATATTGGTCCAGAAATAGAGCCAAGCGAAATTGAGAAAGTCAGTCACCTATGGTCCGATCCATTCCATAAATACACCCGCAAACGGGGACCAAATTTCATTGCGTATGCAAGCCCGATTCAATTACTACATAAACTGACACCCCACCACCCTACCCCTTTCTTTCCGTACAAAATGAAAAAAACACTGTGTCTTGAGAAAAGTACTCTTAACCCTTTCACCCTCAGAGCTATACCTGCCCAACAAGGCTGAAATTCTGGCAAAAGGGACCTAACTCTGCTTAGACTGCATAACTATATTATTTTAAAAAATCATTAAAAATCAGAGAATGAGTCTAAAATTACAGTTTAGGTGTCAGAGCACAGATAAATGAATAAACTACAAGAAAATGTATGGTTTTGTACGAAAAATGATTGTGTACTAGGTAAAAAAAAATTCTGAAGTGAAAAAAAAAACCCCAAAAGACACAACCCACATTTTTTGCCCGCAGAAGTTCATGATGTTTTACCCAAAACAGCCTTTTGCAAGGCCTAACCTGGCCCAAATGGCATCCTGTCACTGTCTCACTCCCTCTGCCAAGCTTTGTAAAGTTTCTGGTCTTTACACAGTAGTGGCACGACCCCTTTTTACCATGTATATGATCACAACATGAGCTAAAGGATTTGTTGTGACAGAGCCCACAGTCCCAGTGTTGCTCCTCCCTTTTTTACGTCGTCGTAGTGCAGCAAGTATGTAGTACTAGATCTAGATCTAGCTGTGGGTGCTAGGCCTATCTTCTTCATCAGTCTTCTAAATCATCACCTCCAGCAACGATCTCACCATCAACATCACTATCATAGTTGTTCCCCTCCCCCTAGAGCCTAGATCTAGACCTGCGACATCGTGTTCGCTCTCCTACTATAGTTCTCGCTCTCTCTCTCTTTCACGACTGAGTGTCCGAGTGACTACTTGTACTACTAGCACTAGATCTAGCCCCTTGGTCGACGATATCGGCATTTAAATCCCAATTATAAGTGTCTCCATCGTTTACAGTGCCTGTGGCGACGCAAAATTTCATCCACGAAGTTAGATTTAGGTCTCTAAAAAGCACGAAATTAAAAAAATCGCCGCTCTCGCGTGCTTCGATCGATTTTCACCAAATAAACACGACAGTAAAGGGCAACCACTCTAGATTCTCGCTATAAGCTCGGCAATCTCGTGCGACCTCGCAGGAAGCGAGACAACATAGAAACGAAAGTAGTGCGAACGGGTGAATCGAGTGGGCGTGTCGGCACACATCGGCGACTACGGGGGTTAGCGATGACGGCGCACATCGGCGCCTCCGAGTGGCAAAAGGTTAAGCCCCCAAAGGCTTGTATAAAATTGTTTATATTACCTCAACAGTTGCCCATGCATATCCTTCCCTTCAGGAGTGAAGGTACCACTACAGATTAAATAAAGTCTTATCATATAATTATTTTGATTTGAAGCCAAGGAAAAATATAATATACAAAAAGAAATTGTGATTTCGACTTGTCTGCACTATATTACACTACTAGTCATAGAAGCGATACCCTCACAACATATGACACTGAGAAAGAAGAGATGGCATTTCCATTACACTGCATTTGTGTTACGTTTAAGCAAATAAAAGCACAGTGACGCAATAATATAACTGCAATTTACTTTTAGTGCCAGGAAAAATAAAGATAGACAAAGTCAACAGAGGCAAAGAAAAGAAGTTAAACCTACCACTGGCATCCTACCATTGGAATCCTCCCACCACCCACATGAAAAACCTAGTTCGGTCTAGAACAAAAATAAGACATCTCTCGTTTCCACAATCAGTGCTTCGAAAAGCATGATGACCACAAATAGTCATTTTCATCACGACTGAAAGGATACTATTCTCAAACCTCTCTCAGCAGGATCAATTATCATGACTCCTCTTGACATGTAGATTCTCTGATTTTGTTCCTCAAGGTAACGGCGCACCTTCTTTAATGTCTGTGAAGATTAAACATTAGAGTGAAATATGTTTGCTACAAGTCCATTCAAACATAATTATAACAAAAGGCATTATTTAGCTATGGCAATGAGCCCTCACAACATCAGGCTAAGTGTAACTCTCACTCAGTGGCGGTGGGCGGACCAAAATTTGGGTGGAGCTTAGGTTGCTCCCACTTTTTTACCACCAAATAGCAAGCAATAAGAACGAAACAGCGATGGTTTTTCTATACTCACGGCAAGCAACGGTATTTTGAGAGCCATTCAAATGAGAAGTATCACCTTTGTCTTCCATCTCTTTGTTCTACGTTAAATCCTTCGGGATGGTGGGGACGAAGCTGTTTCACCTCCAAATTTCTCCAATTAATTTTCATCTGATGAAAAAGTTGCCTCAAAAGTGGTTTAATGTAATTAATAACTGTTAAACCTCAACGGTACACACAGCACTCCAAACATATACAGTCTATGAGCTGGACCAGGTCGTACAGTTGCGGAAAGTAGAACGCACCTAACAAAGGTCCAATGAGTGCATAGGCAACTGTGACATTGGGGGAAAGTGTGTCGCAAACTGTCACCCCATTGTCAGAGCTAGGAGAGCGTGAGCCCTCTCTGTAATGTTTTTTTTCTTCAAGTCTTCTACCTTTTTACAAGAGGGGTTTCAATTAAGGAGGGGCCGTGGGAACGGGTTCGAACTTTGCTAAGCCCTAAAGACATTTGATTAGCAGTTAGGTTACTATAGTTGTAAGAAGTGACAACAGTGATTGGATAAACGAGCAACCCGCCAAGTTGATCACTTTGTGTTTATTGCATGCCATCATAACAGTTTCAGCTGCATATTTCGTTATTTTCATTTGCTTTGGGATAGAGGGGGGCTGTGAGCCCTTCACTACCCACCGCCACTGCTCTCACTTCTCCCTGGCCCTGGTAATACTGGAATCCCTCACGCCTTAGGCCCAGCCAATACTGACTGTGTCTGCCAGTTTTTGCAAACAAAAAGTTTTTCTATATACACTGCTTTACTCTGAAATTTTAGAAGACAACACCACGTACAACTTTCCCAGAGATTGCTGTAAAAGTTTGTGACTGAGTTTGAAGTGGCTGGTGCCCTGTGAAGGAAATATATATTTATATATGCGACATTACCCTATAATTAACAGATAAATCTCATTTCCCATCAATTCATGGAGATCTTAAAGTAAAATTCACTCACTATGGTCCATTACCACTTTGCAAAAGAGGAAAAAACTCCCTAACTCTATATATAGCGTAACTTACCTTTTCATAGAAGGTATCCATACACATCAATGCAAGGTATGCAGTCAGACAGGCAAAACAGCTTTCACAGTACGTTCTTGACCCCGTACTTTCCGCCTCAGCAAACATTTCATTGATAGTATTGATGGTAGACTCATATGTTGCTCGATCAACCTTCATAAGAAAGGGAGGAAAAAGAAATAACAAAATATATGAAATACTAGACAGACAGTAATGCTATAACTAACCATCAGTCAAATTTTTGTCACTTGAAGCTTGAGTCCATGACTTCCCTTCCTCATACCATATTTAAATCCGACAGTGATTAAAACAGAGACTTCATAGCCCTTAAAACAAAACAAAATGGAAATAGGCAGTGGGCTGCAAAGAGCGCCTAAACTACAGTGCACAAACAGCAGTGACAGGAGATGGCGTAAAATTCAGCAAATGAAGATAGCCTTTATCTCTTTTCACTGAAAATCACAAAACACTATTATCTTTACATATCCTTAATTTAAATTTCCTTTTTATTATAGTAGTAGAGGGTTCTACGGCGCTCGCAACTGCATAAGGTCATATGAGCGCCAAGGGGTGGGTGTCAACAGAGAAGTTTTTACAGGGAATCAGACTTACTCTGCTCACCTCTCTAGCTTTCAACAGCACAAGGTCTGCTTCACCTATCAAGGCACCCCGGAAATGGCAGGTCACAAGGGAGTGACAAACATACAAAAGAGGTAGAGGAAAATGACAATAGTAAGGATTGCGAAAGTAAAACCAGCAGTTCCCTGTTGTAGATCAGGCACAGTTATGAGCGTGACATGAATCAGCCCATTTACAATTCTACTGTGCTTGAACGAGAAAT